TCTCCTCCTGTCTTTTAATTTTTTTCTCCAATTGCAGTTCAGTTTGGGTGTGTTTTGCTTCCCTGTCTTCTAATTCGCTAATTCAGTCCTCTGCTTCTCCTAGTCTACTGTTAAAACTTTCCATGGTGTTTTTTATTGCAGGTCCATCACTCTTTATTTCTTCTTGATTCTTACATAAGTTGTTGATTTTTTTCATCTATCCAGTTTATGAACTTTATGACCCTTGTTCTGAATTCTTTTCCTGACATATTGCATGCCTCCTTTTAACTTTTCTGCTTTTCTGGCGATTCCTCCTTTTCTTTCTTTTGGGGGTTTCTTTGTCTCCCCAATTTTGCTCTCATCGAAGGATTTATGTGTCGAGTAGTGCAGGGGCTGCTCCTTGGGCAGCGGCTGCTCCTCGGGTGGTTGCGGTGGTAGCTTCCCAGTTGGCAACGGCTCCTCTGGGAGGCGCTGCTCACAGCAGTGATGGCTCTGCTGGCTGGCGGGGGCAGGCTCCTCATGCAGCTGCTGCTCCTCAGATGAGGACAGGCTGCTCACGAGGCTGCTGCTCCTCAGATGGGGGCGGGCTGCATGTGGCTGTTGCTCTTTGGACAAGGGTGTGCTGCTCGCACGGGTGCTGCTCCTTGGACAAGGGTGGGCTGTTCGCAGAGCTGCTGCTTTTCAGACAGGGGCAGGCTGCTCGTGTGGCTGCTTCTCCTTGGACAGGGGAGGGTTGCTCATGTGGCTGCTGATCACATGATTGCAGTGGCCTGGGCTGAAGCGTTGGGCTGGTCAGATGGGAGCATGTTTCAGAACTCACAGGAGCCAGTGACCTGGATGGCTGGAGTCTCAGTGACCATGGTGCCACAGCTGTAGCAGTAGGTCCCTGACAGGGGTCGCTGTAGAGTCCTGGGTGTAATCTAGGGCACCCTGGGTGGAGGTGAGCCTGGGCTCCCAGTCACAGCAGCTCTCCCCTTCAAAAAGGTAAGGCCTCTGAGGAAGAGCTGGCTACTCCATGACTGTTTGCAACAGTAGCAGATACTGCCTGGTTAGGCGAGCCTGGTCACACTGCTCCCGAAGGTCCTGCGGGATCTAACTGTGACACACACACACACCCACACACATCCACATACTCCTCTTTTGCTCCCTCCCTCACTCACGCTCCCTCCCTCACTGCTGCCTTCTTCCTGCCTCTGTAGTTAGGTCTGGAGTGTTCTTGACCCATTTGTGGATGGAGTCTCCTCTCCAGGTGTCTGGTTATGTGGCTCGCTCTCTACCACATTGGCCAAACAGGATAAAATTCACCTTGACAAGACACAACACAAAGGGAACAAAACACAAATGTACTCACAACACCAATAACTCCATATAAGTGACCACCAGAGAAAAAGAATTAGGGGAGAGAAAAGAGAGCACAAATGATATCAAAGAGAGAAAAAATGGTATAGGAGGAAAGAAAAACAAGAAAAAGGATGGAAAAGGAAAAAAAATATTTTTTATATAATAAAAGGGTAATATGCAAATTGACCCTAACAGCAGAACGACTGGGAATGACTGGTCATTATAACACACACTGACCACCAGGGAGCAGACGCTCAATGCAGAAGCTGCCCCCTGGTGGTCTGTGCGCTCCCACAGGGGGAGCTCTGCTCAGCCACAAGCCAGGCTGAC